GCAAAGTGCATGTAATGGCTCAACATTAACACCATAATTCAAATGCATCGATTCTCCTCCAGTCTTCCTTATTCATTGTCCAGCTTTCACATGCAATAAGGCATTTGAAAGACCCATGGCTTGGGTCAGACTTGTTGTTGGTAAGTGCCATTCAGTCAGTTCAGACTCGTAATGACCCTTTATAGGTTTCTCAAGGAACGGCTGGTGGGTTTGAACCATGGGTCCTTCAGTTAGCAGTCCACTGATTAACCTGCAGCACCACACCAGGCCCAGACTTGTTAAGTGCCGTTGAGTCAGTTCTGACTCATAGTAAGTCTGTATAGGGTTTCTGAGGAGCAGCTGGTGGATTTGAACTGCCAAACTTGCTGTTCAAACTGACACTGCAGTTGAGTGCTTATCCTACAGCACCACACCAGAACTCAGCAATATTTAGGACAGAGTAGAGCAGCTCCCTAGGGTTTCGGAGGCTGTGAGTTGTTCTCCCGCAGTGCTGCTGGTTGGTTTGAACTGTCAACCTTGTGGTTAGTGATCCTGTTGTTAAGTGCCATGGCGTCCATTCAGACTCATAGTGACCCTGTATACAGTTTCTGAAGCTTTTAAATCTTTTGGGGAGCAGAAATCCTCATCTTTCTGCCACAGAGCAGCTGGTAGGCTCAAACCTCCTATGTTGTTGTTAAGTGCTGTTGAGTCGGTTGTGACCCATAGCGACCCTGAACAGGGTTTCTGAGGCTGTAAATCTTTACGGGATCAGAAAGCCTCATCTTTCTTCCGCGGAACAGCTGGTAGTTTCGAACTGCTGACTTTGCGGTTCACAGCCCGATTTGTAACCACTACACTACCAGCGCTCCTTCAAACCTCCTTATAGGGCAAAGTAAAACTACCTCATAGGGTTTCTGATGATAAAAACTCTATGGAAACAGACTGCTACATCTTTTTCTTGTGAGTGGATGGTGTGTTCGAACTGCCAGCCTTTTGTGCTGTAACCACGGCACCATATTGCTATTGTTATAGGTGTTACTGAGTTAGTTCCAACTCATAGTCACCTCGTTTTTAAGGAGCAGCTGGTGGGTTTGAACTACTGGCCTTCTTGTTAGCAGTCCAGTGCTTATCCTACAGTGCCACACTAGGACTTCTGCACCACAAGAAAGCTCCTTCAGACCCCTAAAGCCTCCTACCTGAAAAGCTGTATTTGTTTATTAGGGGAAAGTTATCATTTGAAAGCTTATATGGTGAAATCTGTAAGAGCTGGAACCACGAGCACTGCTGTTACCCTGGTTTCCTTTGGCAGGGTACAGTTTTGGTTTGGTGTTTGGTCTTTCTGTTGTTCTCTCTTAATGGAAATATAAGAGTTTTCTTTCTCTGACAGGTTCCATTTGAGGGTCTTCATCTTTTTCACTCTCCCTCTCTTTTACCAAGTATAATGTTCTTCTTATAAAATGGCCCAAATATGTGAGACGGGCTCTCACTATCCTCCCTTCTGAGGAGGATTCTGGCTATATTCTCCTCCCAAGATAGATTTGTTCCATCTTCTGACAGTCTGCCAGCACAGTCATTATTTTTTGCCAATAACGTAATTCAAAGGCTTCAGTCTGGTGCTCCTTAGTCCTAAAGTGATCTCTTTGCTGGTTTTTTTGTTTTGTTTTTTAAAAAAACACTTTTGCAGTAGATTTGCCCAATCCAATATGTCATTTGATTTCTTTTTTAACACTTTATTGTGAACTCAGTGAAGGTATACAAAGATGATCAGTTTTACAGTCAACCAATTAGACACTTTGTTTCATCTCAGTGATTGTTCCATCCCCTCCATGTAACAAGTTATCCCACGTCCTCTAGTCAACCAATCAGACACTTTGTTTCATCTCAATGATTGTTCCGTGCCCTCTGTGTAACAGCAGTTATCCATCCTCCAGTCAACCAATCAGACACTTTGTTTCATCTCAATGATTGTTCCATCCCCTCGATGTAACAACAGTTATCTCACGTCCTCCCTGTGCTTCCTTCCATTTCCATCCCACCCTCCTTCCCTTCCCTTCTCAACTTTGTCCTTAGGTAAATGTTGCCCTTTTGTCTTGAATGATGAACCATTCCATGATGATTATACTTTACGAGTGTTGTTGCTCCCCCCATATACTTATCTACTGCTTGGCTGAAAATTGGGCCACAAGGATGAGCTCTGTTCTAAACCTAAAGGTCAAGGGCCACAGTCTCTGTTCCTTCAGTCTCCATTGACCAGTCAGCCTGGTCTTTATATACATACATATATACATACATACATACATATATACATACATACATGTATGTATGTATGTATATAAAGACCAGGCTTACTGGTCAATATATAATTTTGAGTTCTGTTCCCTAGTTTCTCCCACTGTATCTGGAACCTTCTAATGTGAACTCCTTCAGAGAAGTTGATATTGGTAGCTGGGCACCATCTAGTTTTGGTCTAAGAGTTGTGGTGATTGATGTTCACCTGCTCCATCGGTCCATTGGACTAGTTGGTTCCAAGCACCTTTGATTTTCATCACTCTTCTTCTTTCGGGACCTGAAGAGACTAACAGTTTCACCTCAGATGGCCACTCATAAGCTTTTAAGATCCCAGTTACTACTTACCAAAGTAGGATGTAGAACATTGTTTTTGTGGACTGTGTGAGTCCAATAATATGACTTTTGATTTCTTGACTGCTTCTTCTGTGAGTTTTTAGCGTGTATCCAAGTAAAATGAAATTCTTGACAACTTCAATCTGTTTATCATGATGTTGCTAATTGGTTCACTAGTAAGGACTTTGTTTTTATGTTGAGGTGTAATCCATATTGAAGGCTGTACTCTTTGATCTTTATCAGTAAGTCCTTCAACTCTTCCTTGCTTTCAGCAAGCAATAGTGTGTCATTTGTTAATAACTCTTCCTGATGACAAGCCAAGTTTATCTTCATATAGCCAATTTCTTTTTCATATAGCTTCTTGGAGTTTTTGCTCAGCCTAGAGATTGAATAAGTGTGGTGAAAAGATAGAACCCTGACATACACCTATCCTGATTTTAAACCATTCAGTATCCTCTTGTTCTGTTAGAATAACTGCCTCTTGGTCTATGTATAGGTTCCTCATGAGCACAATTAAGTGTTCCGGAATTTCTATTGTTTGCAATGTTATCCATAGTTTGCTATGATCACACAGTCTAAAGCCTTTGCATAGTCAATAAAGCACAGGGAAACATCTTTCTGGCACTCTCTGTCATCAGCCAAAATCCATCTGACATCAGCTATGATGTCCCTCTTTCTACACCCTCTTCTGAATTTGGCTTGAATTTCTCATGGTTCTCTTTCAATGTACTGCTACAACTTTCTAAAATTACTGTATAATGTTGTTAAGTGCCATCAAGTCAGTTCTAACCCATAGCGACCCTGTGTAAGGTTTCTGAGAAGCAGCTGGTGAGCTTGAAGCACTGACCTTGCAGTTCAAACGGCTTTGCAGTCTGGTGCATTAACTTATAGTGCCACACCAGGACTCCAATACTGTATGATAATAGCATTTATATAGAAATATTTCCATATTCAGACATATTTTGCCTCCTGGCTTCTCCCTTATTCTAAATGAGTAAGATTATGCCATCCTTCCTATCACTATGAGGTAAAATATTAAAGATTAAGTTACTTTACACGGTATTTGGAGATTAAACAGGTTACTTTCTTATAAATGGCCAAGTTCCCTGGATTGATTGAGTTTCTCTCACACATTCTAAGTGCAGAAGCGTCTTTCTGTCTCTCACATGTCGAACTCTTAAAGCAATGAAGCCGTGTGCTTCCCATAACTAGGGCTCTGGGGCCAGAACGCCGAATTCACTGCCCGGCTGCACCACGGTCACCTCTGGGGCCTGGGTGACTTACTGATTCTCTCACATTTCTCATCTGTAAGATGGGGCGCATAAACACTTACTTTTTTAAGGTCGCTGGGGGATTAAAAAGCCAGTGCACAGAGAGTGCTTAGAGGAGTTCTTGATACAGCCTGTCAGCTTCTTTAGAGATACAGAACTTGTGAGGGGGTGAGGGGGAAGGAGCTTGACTGACTGATTGATTGACTGATTAATATTAAGGAATTGTGTAATTGTGGGGGCCTGGTAGATCCAGTATCAGTTGTTCAGGTGACAGTCTGGAGGTTCCTAGAGTCTTATGTCCCCAAAATTCACAAGCTAGGCAATGGGAAGAGAAGTGAAGTTCTAGCCTTATTGGGAAGTTGAATATGCCATAAGTAAAACTCCCTTTTTGTTGTTTCTTAAGGCTTTCAACTGATTGGGTAAGGCCCACCTGCCTTGTGGAGGGTTCACCAGCTTTAATCACACACACTGCTTCCTAACAGCATCTACAGAGTGGAGTGGAGTTGAGCACATACAACTTAAGTGTCATTGTTGTTAAATGCTGTTGAGTCTGTTCCGACTCATAGCGACTCTATGTAGGGTTTCCGAGGCTGTAAATCTTGGCAGGAAAAGAAAGATGGGTGGGCTCAAACCGCCGACCTTGTGGTTCACAGTCTAGTGCTTATCCCTCAGAGTCATCATGCTCCCTATAATGCAGGGCTGGCATCAGAGAATGGTTGCTGCATTGTTCTCATGGATGTTGCTTTTACAAAGACACCTCATTTTTATGTCATTAATGCTAATGTGAAGGAGCTTCCTGGTAGCACAGTGGTAAGGAATCAGGCTGTTAACCTCAAGGTCAGCAGTTCAAAACTACCAGCTGTTCCACGGGAGAAACATGAGGATTTCTGCTCCCGTAAAGATTTGCATCCTTGGAAACCCTATACAGGGTCGCTATGAGCCGGAACCTACTCTATGGTACTTAACAACGCTAATGTGATGAGGTGTCTTTCGGCTGCTGTTTTCCCTTATTTACCTTGCTTCTGTTCATTTCTTGCTCAATTCTGGTTCCCTCGCTGTGTCACTAGCCTTCCCACTGCTGGGCTAGCTCCTAGGACACAGACGGTCCCTTGCCTCTCTCTCCCACAGGATGCACGCTGCTGTTCTATGAGACCTACGGGAAGAACTGCATGGATCAGAGCAGCGCCCCTCGGTGTGCTCTGCTTGCAGAAGACAGCATTGTGCAGTCTGTCCCAGAGCACCCCAAGAAGGAGAACGTGTTCTGCCTCAGCAACGCCTTCGGAGACGTCTACCTTTTTCAGGTACTGCCTGCACTTTGTAAGCATAGGTTTCAGGAGTGAAGGGTGTAAGCAAACTTTAGGGTGAGAAGGAATGAAATGGAAATAGCAGGTCTTCAACTTCAACAGCTTTAGAGCTTAGCTGCAGGCCGTGGTGGAGGAGGAGGAGGAGGTGGTGGTTCAAAGGTAGAATTCTCCCTTGTAGTGGAGGAGACCAGGGTTTTGTTCCTACCCAGCGCCTTTACTGCACAGTTAGCACATGTCTGCCAGTGCAGGCTTGTGTGTTGATAGAATGCTGTTCAGGTTTCTGTGGAATATTATGACTAAGATAGACTAGGAAGGAAGACCTGAAGAGCTACTACCAAAACGCAGCCAGTGTGAACGCTGTGGATGAGATCTGTAATTTATCATGGTGCTGGGCAAGCAGCGTTGTCCTCCTTTGCACGTTGGTTTGCCATGAACCGAAGACCAACTTGACTGTAGCTTTCAACACCAGCAACAACAAAAGCTTAGAGAGGCTTAGTGAGGTTTGATGGCCCCTGTCTATCAGGCATCTGAGAAGCTTCACCTCCTGGCAACCACTCCATCTTTCTTGAGTTAATAATTCATAATAATAATAAGAAATAAATTTCTTCAGCACTCAACTCAGGTTTGATGCCTGATAGACAGGGACCATCACAAATGGATTCATTCCATTACCTGGGTGCTCATGGAGTACCCACGAGAGGTCCTTTGGGATAAAAAGAGAAAAAAATTACGACCCCTGTTGTGGAGTTATCCCTGTTCCAGTGAGTTCCATGTTGAATTTCTGAAGTCATGGCTCTTCTAACTGGGAACAAGACAAGGAGAGATTTAGGCTGTTCCCAAGAATCCCATCAGAAGAGACTCTTCAGGAAAACTTTCATCAACAAAGACGTGAAGGTCTATTTCCCTGTGGCCTTATGGGGCTTAGATTTAGGCTACCTGCTGCTAAGACTCCTACCAACTTTATGTTGTTGTTATGTGTCGTGGAGTCGGTTCCAACCCATAGCAACCCTGAACAGGGTTTCTGAGGCTGTAAATCTTTACGGGAGCAGAAAGTCTCACCTTTGTCCTGCGGAGCAGCTGGTAGTTTCGAACTGCTGACCTTGTGGTTTGCAGCCCGATTTCGTGACCACTGCGCTACCAGAGCTCCTTACCAACTTTCTAGCAAATGAAAAATTGCCGACTAGGTGGTATGAAGATCTCGATATTAGCATTAGGCTCAGGTTTGAGTCCTGACTTTACTGTTGTTAATAGGTCTTCTTGGTGCACGTACTAATGGTCTCTGAGCATGGGATCCTTCAACTAGTAGGACAATAACAGCTTATAGAGTTGCTCTAAGGACAATTGATAAAATGTACCTGTGTTGAGTGCTGAAGAAATTCTATTTCTTATTGTTATTATGAATTATTAACTCAGTAAAGATGGAGTGGTTGCCAGGAGGTGAAGCTTCTCAGATGTCTTCCAGTTCAAACATTGCCTCTGGCTGGGAGCTCATGGAAAGCCTCCTAGTCCTAGGTCCAGGTCTCTGCTGAAGTTGACCCTTGGAGGCCTTCAGAGCCCTTCAGAACAGCATAGTCTTCTCAAGTCTGACTTGGGGAATCTAGAATCCTTTAAAGCGTGTCCCGGGACAAGTACAAGGTAAACTCACGCCTCTAGCTTTACTGTGTCCACAAACTGAATTGCTGTGTAAGGACTGAGGGCCTGGAATTTTATTTTTCTTCTTGGAAATTTCTTAACAGAGAGATTGCTTACAACTTTTCATAGTGATTTCAGGCCAAGTAATGAATTGCATTCAGCTGAACTGTGTTGTTGTGATTGTAGCTGTTAAGTGCCATTGAGTCAGTTCTGACTCATAGTGACCCTGTATAGAGTTTCTGACGAGTGGGTGGTGAGTTTGAACCACCGACTTTGCAGTTAGAAGTCCAGTGCTTATCCTATGGTGCCGTACCAGGACACAGCTGAACTGTGGGAAAGGTAAATACATTAGATAAATCTACATCGGCTTCTTAGGTGTAAATGGGATGTGACTATCTCATCTTGTGATTCAGGCAAAGCTCCCTGTGGTTAAGGTCCTCACAATGGTCTTGGGGAAGTGTTGGATGATGGCTCCCAAGGCTGGAATGGTGTGGCTATTTCTTTTCTTTCTTTCTTTTTTTTAAAGTTTTTATTGTGAACTGAGTGAAAGTTTACATTGGGGGGTGGGGCACGGCGGACATCACTTCATTTCAAGGCAATGATTATAATTCCCTGCATCATCATCAACAGCATTGCTGCTTCTGTTCCCTCTTTTTTTTTTGGTGTGCACCAAAACACTCAGGAATGTACAATCATTCAAACAACCAAAGGGCACACTCTGCCCCCTGGCCACTAGCACACATCCCCTCTCCCTCCAGGAGTCTAGAATCCTCAGCTGCTCTGTCTCTCCATGTCATCTCTGGCATTGCAGCTCCTCTGGGTAGGGTCCCACACTCCGCTCCCACTCTTCTCCCTTGATTGTCCCAGGGTTCTCCACTCTGGGACTGTAAGATGGACCACTCACCCCTTTTTGCTACAAAACTTGTACCTTTACAGTTGTGACGATCGCAATTAGTCATGTTAACAGTTATTTACTATTGAATCATAGGAGTCTTTTACACTTCTCCTTTTGGTGTGACTATTTCTGGACGAAAGAATTTAAGCTGCTCTTCTGCCTGAGAGCAACATACATCTTCGTTCACATTTTTAAAATGGTTTTTAAAGTAAAAAGGTTTTTTTATGTGAAAATAATATATAACCATTGGGTCAGGTATGTGAGCGGACTTCAAAAAGTGGGTGAAAAAACAGAATAAAAAGATAATGGCATTTTTCCTACAAACTTTTTGAAGCCCACTCATATAAAGTACTAAAGAACAGAGAAAGAGAAATCATTATCCACAATTACAATGTTCAGGGACAACTATTTTAACATGATCCTGCACTTCCCTCAATATTTTTTCTGTTGAGTTTTTCCAGAGCTGAGGCTGTGCAGTAGATATAATTTTATGTCTAGGTTTCTAAATAGAATGTTTTGGATCAAATATTTTCTCATTCACTAAAATTATGACAAAACACCCTTTTAGAGAGCAGCGCATTAGAGCCCTTAGTGACTGTCCCTCCTCACTTCCCCCTGTTGGCTGTTAGTGGTTTTCTCGTTTTTTGTGGGGCTTACATGTTCAATCTTGAGTCCCCTGGAGTTAAGGAAGCCAGAGGGCTTGAGTTGAGCAGTTGTGTGTGGTGTTGAAATTGGACACTATTTTTATGAAGTGAGGGGCCACTCGGTGGTGCAGACAGTTAAGTTAATGCACTCTTTGCTAACTGAAGGTTGGAGATTCAAGACCACTCAGAGACACCTTGGAAGAAAGACCTGGTGATCTGTATCTGAAAATGAGCCATTGAAAACCCTGGGGTCACCATGAGTTGGAATAGACTCTGACAGCTGGTATCGATATGTGAAGGTTCAGTCCTTCCAGAGCCAGGCTGCCGCTGGGGAGGTCAATTTCAACAAGAGCAAACAGAGTCGTTTTGTTTTTCTCTCCCTGTGTTTAGGCCACTAGCCAGACAGATCTAGAAAACTGGGTCACTGCCATACATTCTGCTTGTGCATCCCTTTTTGCCAAGAAGCGCGGGAAAGAGGACACGGTCCGTCTCCTAAAGAACCAGACCAAAAGCCTGCTTCAGAAGATAGACATGGACAGCAAGATGAGGAAGATGGCTGAGCTACAGCTGTCGGTGGTGAGCGACCCGAAGAACAGGAAAGCCATAGAGAACCAGGTACGGCCAGGTACAGCCAGGTGCATGGCCACCTGCACGTGGATTGAAGCCAGGCTCCCGCTGCACTGAGGCCTTGCATACCTGTGGGGGTGTAGTTTCTGTGGCTACTCATTTCAAGTACAGGCAGTCTGCGCTTTGCAAGGTATTTGAGTTAAGACAGACCACACTTATGACCATCCTTTTTTATTTATTTATTTTTTTTTTGGGGGGGGGTGCATCTTGCTATATAGATACATACATGCAGTGTTTCAGTGTGTTATACATTGATGTTGTTTTTCTTATTTCTCGTGCCAACCCCAAAGACAAAGATTTGATTTATAAAGGTGGTGGTGGTGGTGGTTATGTGCTGTGGAGTCGGTTCCGACTCATAACGACCCTGTACAGGGTTTCTGAGGCTGTAAATCTTTATGGGAGCAGAAAGCCTCATCTTTCTCCCACGAACAGCTGGTAGTTTCAAACTGCTGACCTTGCAGTTCGAAGCCCAATTTGTAACCATTACGCTACCAGTATAAAGATACTGATACTGATAGTAAAAGGCAGTAATGATAAAAATTTAAATATAAATAAATATATAAAAGGAGGCATCGGCTTACATCAGAAATGATTTAATGATGGAGCTCTGTCATTAAGTCGGGGACTATCTCTGCTAGAGGAGCCCTGGTGTGGTGTGGTTGGTTAATGCGCTGGACTGCAAAGTCTGCTTGAACCACTAGGCTGGCGGTTCAGGCTCACCAGCTGCTCCTCAGAAATCCTGTACAAGGTCACTATGGGTCAGAACTGACTCAACGACACTTAACAACAACAAAACCTCTACTATACATAGTTTAGTAGTTTTGCTTCGGTTGTTAACTAAATCATCTGACCAATTGCGGTTTGTTTTTTAAAAGTTTTTATTGTGAATTATGTGACAGTTTGCATGGGAGAACATCGTATTTCGTTTCACTGCAATGATTACAATCCCCTCCATGCATCATCACACAACCAAAGGGTACACCCCACAAGTCTGCCCCTGGGCCGCCAGCACACAGCCCTTCTCCCTCCCTGAGTCCAGAGTCCTCACCTGACCAATTACTTTTCTAAAATAGAAATCCACCTTTACTGTATCTGTTTCCAAGGAGCTCTGACAGTGTAGTGGTTACACGTCGGGCTGCTAACCTCTAAGTCAGCAGTTGAAAACTACCAGCCGTTATGTGGGAAAAAGCTGAGACTTGCTTCTCCCATAAAGATTTATAGCCTCAGTAACCCTATGCAGGGTCGCTATGAGTCGACTGTGGATTATACATTCGGCTACTAACCCTGAGGTTGGTGATTCAAATCCATCAGTTGCTCCGAGAGAGAAAGATGAAACTTTCTACTTCTATAAAGATTTACAGCTTTAGAAGAAACCCTACATAGGGTCGCTATGAGTTGAAGTCAAGCAGTGGGTTTGGCTTGCTTTGGTTTGGTTACTTGCTTTTCCACAGTTTGGATTTTTGTCCTATATCTCTTGGGATGTGTATTTAGCATAAACTGGATCTCTGCTTTAAAAAGAAGGATTTTTGTGGTACGTGGATTACAGATCGAAGAAAATTCAAAACCCGGTTCTCTAAATGTGTTGGTTCATCTCACTACCAGTTCCTTCCATTCAATCTGTGTACTCTCAGTGGTTGGAAAATATCTAGTAGAACTTTTGCAATTCATTAAACCAAAAAAAAATCAAGAAAAGTGAAACCCCTTAGAGACCGAACTTGACGGAACCGCCTTGTTTTTCTGGGTCTCACACGTTTTCGGTGTTTGACAGAGTGCAGTCTCGTCACTTTCCTGTCATTCTATGAATAGAAAAGATTTGTATTTTCCTTCTAATGCCTCACCCAGGTCCTGACTTTTGCAAGTTTCACTGTAATAATCTTTGGGGACAAACCTATTAATGAACTAATGATCAAATTCTGTGATTAAATGGTAAGAAAATGTTTTTTCCAGGAGAGTTGGGTGTGGCAGGAAATTGTCATCTTTTTAATGTCTCGTTATTCATTGATTATTTTTAGCATTAGACTTCATTTCCCACCTCCCTCTCCATGATATATATTTTTTCTTTTTTGTAGGAAACCATACCTTTTCTATATTCATTAAATGAAAAGGAAATTTGTATCACATTTGTGTCTGTGTCTAAAAAGGGTTGCTTTTCCCTCTTAATTTTGTTGTTGAGGATTTTTCCTTTTCCAATGAAAGATTATTAAGGCCTCTGTAGATTGAATTTTTTTAATGTTTCATACATGAATATTAAAAGAAACGAAAGCTTTGTCTTGGTAGAAGTTGGCTTTTTATTCTGATGTCTTGATCTCTATCTTAAAGAGTCCTGGTGGCATGGTGGATTAAGCATCAGGCTGTTAACCACAAGGTGAGCAGTTCGAATCCACTAGCTGGTCCATTTGAGAAAGATGCTCCCGTAAAGATTTACCATCTAGCAAACCCTGTGGGAACCATTTACTGTGTCCTGTAGAGTTGCTATGAGTTGGACTTGACTTTAGGGCAGTGGATTTGTGGTTTTTGTTTTGTTTTGTGAAGGGTGATTCTTAAAAAATAACACTATGTCCAGGAATAATTATCAGTACGACTATAAGAAATCAACCGGGAGAACTTAGAGCTGGCCTCCAGGATCCTCCGGGACCCTCATTACAAAGCAGGTCTCCTCAGACAGGGACAGAGGGGGCTGATGAAACGTTACAGATCCTTCAAAATAGAATTTATCTAGAGTTAAGGCATACGTACCTGAATGTTTGGTGTCAGAGGCAGGATCTGTGGGAGTTGTAAACAGCATGGCCAGACTCAACATGCGATTGCTGACGCTGGGATGGCAGAACTCTTACATGATTCATCTTTAAATGAAGACCAGTCTTGTGTAGTAACGTGATTTGACAGCCCTGGATGAAAGAGCGGGTCTAGAGTGTGCCTTGGTTTCCTTCACAACTAATGATGTCATTTTGATTCTTTTCCTTTGGACTGTGTATTGAGAGTTGAGTGAAGGTTTACAGAGCAGTTGATGCATTTTACATTCAGTAAATCCTACACTTTATTTCCTCTCACTGATTGCAATCCCCTCCATGGAACAACAGTCATCCCACTTCCTCTCTGTTCCTCATTGCCATTCTTCTTTCTTCCCCTACACTTGAGAGTTTGGTAAATGCTGCCCTTCTGGGTTGACCATTTGATGATGTGCATACCTCACTAGTGTTGCTGCCCACTGCCTGATATACCTATCTGTTGCTTGGCTAAAAATGGATCTAGACCTGAAGGGTCATCAAGGGGCATAGTCTTGGGTTCTTACCAGTCTGTTATCTGACCAGTAAGCAAGATCTCTTTGATGATTTTGAGTTTATTCCATTTTACATAGGACCTTCTAATGTGATCCCTTTCAGGGCGGTTGGTAATGGTAGACTGACACCATCTAGTTTTAGTCTCAGGGTTGTTGAGACTGATGTTCACATGGGCGGTCTATAGTGTGTTGGACAAGTTACTTCCAAACCCTATGGTGTTAGCTTTGAAGAAGTACATTAGAATGTCTATTGTGTAAAGAGTTACATACACTTGAATTTTATTCAGACTACAGATGGTGTTTAACTTAATAAACTTAAGACAATTTTTCTGATTCCTGAATCCACTTGCCTCCTGTTGTTTTGACTCAGTCACTCAGAACAAACCACTCCTTGTCTGTCACTGTGCCATATGCTGTGACGTCAGCACTCCCAGTACCAACGGGGTCACCCATGGTTGAGCGGTTTCAGTGGAACCTCCAAACTAAGACAGACAGGGAAGGAGAAGCTGGCTATCTGATTCTGAAAATAACTGGCCACTGAGAACTTTATGAATAGCAGGGAGTCTTGTCTGATGTCGTGCCAGACAATGAGCCCCTCCTCAGGTTGGGATGCGCTCAAAATACAAAGTGGCTGCAACTGTGGGCCCAAACGTAGTGACTTTTGTGAGGCTGTACTTACGGTCGCTGTGAGTCCGAACAAACTCACCTAACAACAACAACAGCAGCACTCAGAGTGAACAGACCGCAGCCACTGCCTTGTTTGTCCAGCGTGTCTGTGTGTAAACCAGCTCATCCAGTTTAGGAGGGAAACAAGACCAGAGCAAAGGGCTGATGGTTCTGCTTCCTAGAGGGGCTATCCTAAACCAGGGTGCTTCTCTGTTGAAGTTCCCCAAAGGCTGTGCTGTTTTCACTCGTCACTGTATTTGGGGGTCACAGGTTTTAGTCTTTTGGCTGTCCTGATGAAGGTCTGCTTGTTATGACAGAATAGGACTTGGTGGGAGGACCTGATGGGCTAAACTGTGAGACTCCATCAGAAATGCGTTTTTCCATGAAGTTTATAAAAGGGCTCACCTTTTCATCTTGACTCAGGAACACGTCTCATTTGTAGTTAAATCTCGTCTGTTGCTGCCTTCATACAGATCCAACAGTGGGAGCAGAACCTGGAGAAATTCCACATGGATCTGTTCCGGATGCGCTGCTATCTGGCCAGCCTCCAAGGCGGGGAGCTGCCAAACCCCAAGAGTCTCCTGGCTGCCGCCAGTCGCCCCTCCAAGCTGGCCCTGGGCAGGCTTGGCGTCTTGTCTGTTTCTTCCTTCCACGCGCTGGTAAGTCCCTTAGGAAGGCTGAGGGTGTTCATCTTTCTGAGGCTTCTTGCCAGCATCTAACTCAGTAGCTAATGAGAGCCACCCAAAAACCAGGCACCAGGGCTGGGGGCTGCCAGGAGGGGTGGGGAGTCTCTGTTGCTGATTTTAGGAATCCAGCCACTCTTGGTGTTGACTGCCGTCGAGTCAGTTCTGACTCCTGAAGGCATCCGTGTACAGGGTAGAACTACACTGTAGGGGGTCCAAGGTTGAGACTTCAGAAGCAGAGTGCCAGGCTTGTCTTCCGAGGTACCCCAGGTAGGTTTGAACTACCAGCCTTCCAGTTAGTAACCCATTGCTTAACTATTTGCGCCATCTAGGGATTCCTGCCCAACCACTTAAACAAAAAAACAAACTCACTGCCCCCAAGTCGGTTCTGGTTCATAGTGACTGTGTGTAGGGTTTTCAAGACTGTAAGTCTTTGTCAGAACAGAAAGCCGCATCTTTCTCCCACTGAGTGGCTGGTGGGTTTGAACTGCCAACCTTCTGGTTAGCAATTCTGTGTTTATTGTATGACACCACGTCAGCTTGCCTTATCCAACCACTTGTTGTTAAGTGCCATCAAGTCAATTCTGACTCATAGCCATCCTGTATAGGGCTTCCAAGGAGCACTTTATGGATTTGAACTGCCAACCTTGTGGCTGGCAGTCCAGTGCTGATCCTACAGCGCCATACTGTCTTCCTACCTTATCTGCCTAGTCTGGTGAGGAGGGAAGAATCCCTGAGGTGTGCAGAATGAAAACCATCAGTTCCCTGAAGTCTACCTGACTCATGGCCACCCCACGCCTGTCACAGTAGAAATTGTGCTCTTTTGAGTTTTCAGGGGCTGATTTTGCAGAAGTATGTTACTAGGCCTTTCTTTTGAGGCAATTTTGTGGACTCAAACCTCTAATATCTGGTTCAGTAGTCAACTGCATTCCCTGTTTGTGCCCCCAGGGGCCCCAGGAAGAATTACAGGACCAGGTGTGGGTGGTTATGTCTGGCCTGTGTGGCACTGTGGGTTAATGCACTGGACTGTAAAGTCAGTTTGAGCCACAAGGTCAGCGATTCAAGCTCTCCACCTGCTCCTCAGAAACCCTATCTATACAGGATCGCTATGGATCGGAACCGACTCGCTGGCACTTAACAACAACAGCGTGTCTGCACTGCCCGGGCCCTTTGGGGATTCTGACATCACGCCTGGGTTACTGGCTGTTACAGCATGGAGGGGAGTGCTCTCAACTTTGCGAGTTGGTTTGTGTCATCCAGATAAGCGTATCTCTCTGATGGATGCCTTGCTGGTCTGCTTGAGCTTATCAACAAGTAGAGCTTCCTCTGGGACAGGTGACCAGCTTTGTGGTTTGTTTCTATTGTTTTCCATTAGATTTGCTCTCGAGACCACTCTGCTCTCCGGAAAAGAACCCTGTCTGTGACACAGCGAGTGAGACATAAGAAGAGCATCTTTTCTTCACTGAAAGGGCTGGACACGCTGGCCAGAAAAGGCAAGGAAAAGAGACCTCCCGTCACCCAGGTGAGTTCCTCGGCATGGCAGGACAAAGGACTGAGAGTGTAAATTAGAAACTGCCTGCTGCAAATCAGAACAGTGTGTCCTCTGCTAACAAGAAGACAAATGCTGGCTCAGGGGAATCTAGGGGACTTTTTTCCTGAAATGAAAATGCAGTCTCCACATCTTGCTCACATTTACTGACTTCTAGATTCTGGAGTGTCCAGTAGAACTTGCCCATGAGATTTCCGTGGCTGAGTCCTGGTGTGGCGCTGTGGGTTAATGCACTGGCCTGCAAGGTCAGCTTGAATTACAAGGTCGGCGGTTCAGACCCACCACCCACTCCTCAGAAACCCTATACCGGGTGGCTATGATCAAAACAGGAGTCCTAGTATGGCGCTGTAGGTTCATGAACTTTGTGTTCTAATTTTTAGCTAGCTCTTTATTTGCTTGTGCCTACAGCTTTGTAAATTAGGTGAATAAAATGATGGTGCCGTCTTCTTTGGCTTGTTTAAAATCCTGAAACAATAAAGAAGGTTGGAATGGGGGTGACTGGTAGATTGAAAGACAACAAGAACACACACAATCTCTGTTTTACCATCGCTGATAATACAAACTCAGTGACAGCAGAAAAGGAGATCATGTTTTAAAATCGTGGTTTTATTTGTCATTTAACAGTAAAGAGTATTCATTTGTTGGCTATAAACGAGGGGCTATTTTTTCCAATATAGATTACAGTCTAAAGGATTGACTGAGGTTGCACTTGTGTTGTTTGAATCGAACTTTATGAAGCTTAAGTAGTGTCTTTAAAGTCAATTCTGATTTTATCCAGCGTTGTTATAAAGTGCCATCAAGTCAGTTCTGACTCATAGTGACCCTGTATAGGGTTTCCAAGGCTTATAAACCTTTTCTGGAGCACAAAACCTCATCTCTCTCCCCCGGAGTGGTTGGTGGGCTCCAACCAATTAACAGGACCTTATGGTTCATGGTCCAGTTAATCAGCATTGTTGTTGTTGTTAAGTATCGTCGAGTCGATTCCGACCCATAGCAACCCTGTATAGGGTTTCCAAGGAGCAGCTGTTGAGCTTGAACCGCCGACCTTGCAGTCTGACGCATTAGCCCACAGTGCCACCCCAGTTAATCAGCATGTCAGTTGTATATAATGAAATGCTTACTTGATAAATAATTTGATCATATGCTTATTTTTCTTGTTGCTGTTAAGTACTGCCAAGTCAGTTCACACCCATAGCAACCCTGTATAGGGTTTCCAAGGAGCGTCCGGTGGGTTTGAACCACCAACCTTGCAGATAGCAGTGCAGTGCTTATCCTGCAGCCCCATGCATTTAGCTCATTCGATTTGGGCTTAATGTGGTCTTTATCACTGTATATGTGGTAAATGTTCTGAACATCAGATTTCTTAATAAACAAAGGAATTGGTTGACACATTTGTTGTTTTAAAAAGATTTAAAGATTGATAACAGTGTTATTATTTAGATTACTGATTTAGTAGGATTTAGTAGGAGTTTCTAAATGTTGTTGTTGTAAGTGCTGTTGAGTCAGTTCTGACTCTAGCGACCCGATAGAGGGTTCTGATGAACAGCTGGTGAGTTTTGAACCACCAACCTTGGGGTTCAAACCGACCTTGTGACTCAGTGCTTATCCTAGAGCACCACACCAGGACTCCTCTAAATGTTTAAATGACATTTATTAAAATATTGTAACTCCTGGTGTGACTTTGTAGTGTAAACACTAGGTTGCAAGATCGTTGGTTCAAACCCACAAACTGCTCCTCAGAAACCCTATATGGGGGTCACTCTGTGTTGGAACCAACTCTACAGCACATAACAACAATAACAAGTTTAAATGTTTGTTGTTACACTACAAAATCAAGAAGGTGATAATGGGAATACGTCAAGAAGATGATTCCCAGCCCCTGTTTTCAAACATGACTAATTTTGATTATTTAGCTGTGTTGTATTCCAGTGTTTATCCTGTATAAAAAGATAGTAATCTTGATTTTTGGTGGTCTTGCCAACCCAACTTTGAGCTCTGTTCCACGTCTTCAGAAATAGGTGCTTCTTGGTTACAAGCAACATCAGGAAGATCCAGAGTGATTTAAATAATATTATTTGTAATATAGTACAAATTATTATAATACAGACAGATAAAATATGTAAATAAATAAAAAGGCAAAGGCAACTTTTTCTTTAAAATTAGAACTTTAAATGTATTAGAGTAGTAAATACACTGCCATGTGAAGGCTTTATAGAGTGTTAGAGAACACCAGTTTTTAAATACTGAAAAATGTTAGTTGTCAAATGAACATTCCAGGGTCATTTCATCTTTTTTTCCCCTTCCTGTTTATCAGATATTTGATTCAAGTGGTGGCCATGGATTTTCTGGAACTCAGCAACCTCAAAACTCCAATAACTCCAGTGAGGTAAATGTTTGCTCTCGATGGCAGCCATCTTGTTTTACATTGATGACGCAGATACTTAATTAAGTGGGAAATGCTAGTTCTCTCCATGAATTCATTGGAAATAAATTTAGATGTAAAACGGTCCAAGCTTTTGAGGAAGTGTCTCCTGCATCACTCCATCTTAAAGTTAGTGAGGTGACCAGACTAAAGTCGTGATAGACCGGTTGCCATTGAATCGATGTAGCTCATAACGACTCCATGGGCCTCAGAGAACAGCTGTATTCTGTGGGGTTTGTAACGTCTGCTGTTTTAGAAGTGGAATATCAGACCTTTCTTGCACCTCGGGGTGGACTCCCACCTCCAGTCTTTTGGTTAGTCACCAAGGACTCAAAAAGTGACAGTTGTACCTTTGATTTCTACACACTACTTTCCCGCATTAGAGAGCTTAGTAAACCCAAAATTGCATTTTCCTTTCAGAGGATGCTCACAAAGCGTTTATTTTTTTGTGTGTGTTAGCAGCTTTTGTATTTCCAAGTGTCCTCGGAGGGCTGGGAACAGAATGTTCCCTTTCCAGTTACCGTAATTACTTCTGGCCAAACAAGACATAAGAGCGATTTAGAATGAAGGTTGCTTGGCTCCATCATGTTTCTCTTTTATGTCTTTCTGGAGCACCCACCTTTCCCCTTCAGGTATATTCATGGTATTGATCTATTTCTCTGACCTCTCTTCCTTCAGTTAATTTTCTTTGGTTTCATTTCCAGGAAACGTTGATTAAGCTGTTTGCTGAGGTTAAAAAACTGATTTTGAGAGATGTGCACAAATGTCATATACCTCTGGTGAGAAATAGGCCAAATATTAGTTAACAATTCTCTGAATTATCCCAGTTAATGTATTAACTCACTTTGAAAGAAACCAAGGAATGGTGGGGTGTTAGACACCTCCTGAGAGAGGTGTGTGGGGAATTTTTGGTGACCCTAAAGTAGAAACCTCTGTAAGTTCTCTGGTAATGTATGGTTGAAGCTGTTTCTGTATTACCTTTAGTAAAACTTTACTCGCATGGGATATCAAAGATATTGTCCAATGATTTCCGCATTCCGTTGGGTCACCTCTCTTTGGAATGGACACAAATACAGATCTCTTCCAATCAGTGGGCCAGATAGTTGTCTTCCAAATTTCTTGGCATAGATGAGTGAGTGCCTCCTG